TCGTTTCAAACAAATCAATGTTTGTGCGATTGGTTTGACTTAACATTAACTCCACTGCAAGACGGCATACATTGGAGCTGAGGGTACAGACTATGTGATCGCATTCACTCAACATCCAGACATCACTTATCAGGTCCACAGTCGCCGTATCGGTAAATCTCCTATACGTCTGAGCTCTCATTGAATGCAATGGATTTCCCTTAAAAACATAGCCCTTCTCTCTATAGGGTGTGGTCTCCAGTTCCCACACATAGGGGTCATCGGTCGCCAAATACACTATTCTTGGCGTCAATTCATTCACAAAATTCTTGAATTTAATGATTTAATTTTTATATATATGGAGCCATTATTATAATATTGTAATTATAAGTTAAAAACATTTATTCGTGAATAATTAATTTATTGTGAATATGTTGACAGTGAAGTCATTCAGTAATTAACCAGCAATATTTTAGTTAACTTGGTAATTGCACCGTTCCCCACGTATATTCCACTGATATATTACTAGGAATACTCCCTATAATGACACAATTTTAAAACAAATTAAAGCAAAAACTCAATAATTATTTGATAATAAAATTGATTAATAATCAAAGATTATAGACCTGTAAAGCATTGAAGAATATAAATAAATAGGAAAACATTTGGGGAACTGTAGTCCAACGGTTGATATAAAACACAAATAATAGCCACGAAATGCCACTATTGAACAAAATCCATACAAATGATAGGATGTATCTAAAACTCAATTTGTGATTAGATTTCCACAATAGGTATGCAATAAATGATACACATGATACAATGAGACACCCATTATATTTATATTTATATAACATGTGGCTTCATGATGTATTGTGTATTTAAATAGTTAATAAAAAATCTATCTTAAATGCAATTAAATAGACGTTTAATTTGTGAAATGTTGTTAAATTGTTATCATATCCGCAAATATTAAAAATTGTTATCTAAATAACACTTAGGTTTTGGGGAATATCCGGATACTTTTGTAATACGTAGTTATAATTTATAATGAAATAATTGTGTGTTAATTTTTTTAACATTATAATTTTTAACATAAGATCAATTAATCTAACTAAGCAAAATTTCTCATTATTAGCCAGTCACTTTCAGGTCCATGGTCTTAATTGACTTGTTTGTACGGTTTCAGACGTATCTTCATCTGATATATCACTAGAAATACTCCCTTTATATACAAATTATAATAAAATAGTTTATATTCAATAGATTTGTCAGATTATAGTTCAAACCTGTAATCCATTAAAGAAAATAAATAGATATGAAAACATTTGAGGAAATGTAGTCCAGCGGTGGATATATAACACGAATAATAGCCACGAAATGCCGCTATTGAACAAAATCCATACAAATGATAGGATGTAACCACAACTCACTTTTAGTTTGGATTTGTATAATAGGTATGCAATGAATGCCATATTTAAAGCAACGGATAACATTGCAGGACCTGCATTGGCATCATAAATTTAATATATTAAATCACAAATAATTATAATATATTGCGTTAAATACCAATTAATACATAAATATTATTGGGATGTTTTTGGGATGATATCCAGCAACTTTGAAAAATAAAAATTATTTTAAATGACATATTCGCAAACCAATTAACATATAAAAATCAATTTCATACAAATACTCTCCAGTCAATTGTTCTCCAAAAACTTTTGTATTATATGTCCGAATCCTAACTTCCACTAAAAATGCTGTAATAATAAGCACCGGTAGTCCGTACCCTAATGTGAGAT